ATGTGTCGGTACCCGGCCTTCAGGGCGTGGGCGGTGGAGGTGACGCATTTGTCGGCGTGGGAACGGTAGACTCCGAAGCCGAGGCGGGGTATCTGGACGGAGGAATTGGGGAGGGGCAGGAGATCAGCGATGGTGTATTTGGGTGACATTTTTGCGGGTATTGCTTCGAGGTATTTTCCGTGGGAAAAGCTATCCAAAAGAACTGTAAGTGCTATAAGTTTTTATGTGATCTTGGGTTGATTATGAATCAGATAAGCGTCCAAAAGGGCGGGGGAGAGAATGAGATGGAAGAGAAAGAAAGAGCTGTATGGAGGCGAGTGAATGTTTTCCGCCGCGGGCCCCATTCGACCCGGATGATATCATCACGCCGGGCGGGCGCTAGCCCCGTTTCTGCGATGGTATCATCCTCACGGGCACTCCAGCCGACCCGTCCACTTCCTTCGCTTCATTATTATTCGAGTGGTGCATTATTCTTCGATCCTCTATGGCATGCTACATCTGAGGAAGAGCACTCAGTGAACAACCTTCCAGCGATTCCCTCGACTGGACCACACTTGCTTAGGTCTTAGGTGATATATCGACTTTTCGGCTCGCCCGATCCCTCTCTCCGTCGCCGCCACAGAATATCTGAAGCCAAGGAGAGCAACCTTCGCGGTACGGTACCTTGCCTATCGTGCGATTGCGATACTCAGACAATGTTTTGGCACAGTAAAGTCAGATTCCGGTTGGGAAGAGCCTATGAATCATGGCAGGGCGTGGTGGGCTATAGTGGGCGACTTTTATATGAGTGTGAGTCTGAAAGGCAAGGAAATTGACATCCTCAAAGGGCTTTATTGCCTTTATGCTCATCGACGTCTAAAGATCAACGCAGTTCGCGATGAATGTAGCCGTCTTTGGGCCGTAGTTAGTAACTTATATGATCAGATGTAGGTAGACAATGCCTTAGGGATGATCTACATTGCCGCACCCTCTGAAACCCGTAAGGCATGCACTAGCAATGGAAAATAAACATCCCAAGACAGCTCAAAGAGAAGCAGGCCGTAGAATCCAGCCCTCTCGAGTGGAACAAGTCGTTGACTAGGGGTGGGTCGGCAAGAGCGAAGATTCCGATCAGCGTTTCGGAGAAAGCCATTGCCAGAAACCCGATGTTGAGAATGTAGGATCCTGTATGAGTAGATAAATAAAGAGTATATCCATAGTACTTTGTGGAGAGGTGCTTTCTTCTGATCTGCGCTCACATAACCTGTTTATTGGACAAATTGGAGAAATTTGGATGGGACAGAGAGTAGGAGGTAGGTAGGTAGGTAAATCTGGCGCTGTAAAGTGTTGTGATGCTAAAAACAGAAACATGAAAAATGTCGAATCTGCCGGCAACCAACCAGAATGATTGATTAAGAGCTGTCAATGGCGACTCATGAGGATTTGCCCAGTAGGTGTTGGACTTCCACCGTACTTACTTACCTATGTAGGCTTAATATCTTATTCCCCTGAATCTGCCTGATGCTACCTGACCTGGCTGTAATACACTCAAAATCATGTACGGTACTGTAGAATGTCTGGTTCAACCGGTAGCAGCCGACTGGTTCCAGGTTACTTTTCAACCCACTGGTTGCTGTGGGGGTGAAAGAAGAGGGGAGAAAGAGAGAGGGGGAAGAAGAGAGGGGGGAACTCGAAGAGAGAAGGTTGACATTGAATGCCACCAAAGCAACACCTGCCAGTCAGCCCCTTTATCTGCTTCCGAGTAAGTTACTCGGAGCTGTAACTCCATCTGTTCGGATTGTACCTAACGTCCTATCTTTCTTTCTTTGTTTTTCCCCAATCCAACGGGCTGCCTGATTCTTGTACTCTTTACTCTCTTACTTTTTTACTCTTTAAACCCCCTGCATCCCAACCACACTCCCAACTACCGACAAAACGAACCACCAGCGAATCGTGTGTTACAACGCACACTTCTAATCTCTTAGTGCTGCGGGCCTGAAGATCCTGCCTTGCCTCTTCCATTTAAGTCACTTGCATTGTCAGAAGCGCCCCATCTGCCCGAGTCACCGTCCGCCGCCGGCAACAGAAAGCAACAGCCGCCGCTCGCTCAGTCCGTGCTTCTCATCTGCAAAAAAACCGCCCTTCTCCGCCCACGCCCTGGATGATTACTTCCATCTACAGCGTTCACCATGTTGGCGGTTGAGAAACACTGGATTAATGTACAGCAGAAGACCTTCACAAAATGGTGTGTTGATCCCCTGTTCAAAGCAGTTGGGTGGCATAGCACGTTTGGGAGATACCCCTCCAACTTCAGTTCGGGCACTGCACTGCTATCTACCTCTGACTGACTGGGTTTCTTTGTTTACTTGCACTCTACCCAGCCCACCAAAGTCGCATGAACTGACACCACACCCTTCCCTAGGCTCAACGACAAGTTGAAGGTCCGAAGAATCTTTATCGATGATTTAGTCGTCGACCTCTCCGATGGCGTGAGTTTACTGATCTATACCTATCCCGATGCCGCGCGGAGAGCCCCCGAAACCAGCACCACTAGGAAATCAGAGGAGAGTCGGACTGTTGACACCGTTTCTTGTGGAATCTCTATAGGTCATCCTTATCCATCTACTCGAAATTCTCGGCGGAGAATCGCTCGGCCGCTACGCTTCGAAGCCCAAGCTCCGTGTGCAGAAATTTGAAAATGTCAACAAGAGTCTTGACTTCATCAAAGGACGGAGGATTCAGATGACCAATATCGGCGCCGAAGATGTCGTGGACGGCAATAGAAAGATTGTGCTGGGTCTGATCTGGACTTTGATTCTTCGATTCACTATCAGTGACATCAATGCGGAGGGTATGACCGCAAAGGCGGGTCTCCTTCTGTGGTGTCAGCGCAAGACAGCTTGCTACGAAGGTGTGCAAGTCCGTGATTTCTCTACCAGCTGGAACGATGGATTGGCCTTCTGTGCGCTTTTGGACATCCACCGCCCGGATCTGATCGACTTCGATGCCCTGGATAAGAAGGACCACCGCGGAAACATGAAGCTCGCCTTCGACATTGCTTCCAACGAAATCGGGATCCCTGATCTGCTTGATGTTGACGACGTTTGCGATGTTGCGAAACCGGACGAAAAGTCGCTCATGACGTATATCGCCTACTGGTTCCACGCCTTCTCGCAATTGGAACGGGTTGAGAATGCCGGACGTCGGGTCGAGAAGTTCATCAACAACATGCATGGTGCCTGGGAGATGCAGAACTCCTACGAGCGGAGGATGAAGGAGCTGCTGCGGTTGATTGCCGCGCAACGCGAAGCGTGGAAGACAGCGTCCTTCGAGGGTACCTACAAGGATGCGAAAGAGCAGGCTCACCAATTCTCGCTGTACAAGAGAAACCAGAAGCGCCAATGGGTGGCCGAAAAGTCGGATCTTGCGGCTCTTTTGGGAAACATCAAGACTAAACTCAGCACTTATCGTCTCAAACCATACGAACCTCCAGCTGAGCTTAGTCTGGAGGTTTGCGATGAGCAATGGGAGGGTTTGACCCGCGACGAGCACGAGCGTAGTCAACTCATCAACGAAACGATCCGAGATATCAAGAATGCGCTCCGTCGTTCGTTCGCGGACAAGGCAAACGACTTCGCATTGACACTTAAGACGCTGTCCTTGGCTATATCTGGTCTTGATGGCGATGTAGAAGACCAACTAGCCCATGTCAAAAGACTCAATGATAACCTTCCTCCCCTCGATGCATTCCTAGATACCATCGCGGCTTTGGACGAACAGTGTGCGGAAGCTAACATCGAAGAAAACGATTGGACGACATACACCCTAGATGAACTTTCCTACGAGTTGAGTTTGGTCAAATCGAGCATCTCTAAGAAGCTGGCTTTCCTCGACAACCAACTCGTCGCCCGCAACATGACCAACTTGACCCCCATCCAGTTGGAGGAGTTCGAGTCGGTCTTTAGACATTTCGATCGCGACTCATCAAATACACTTCTTGAGCTCGAATTCTCCGCTGCACTTGCAAGTCTGGGACTTGTGTACGACGAGGAGGAGATGCATCAGGTTTACCTTGAGACATGTGGGCCAGCTCGGCTAGCTCAAAATGCCGGTGTTAGCTTCGAGCAATTCATCCATTTCATGGTCAGCGTGGTGGAAGATCAGAATTCCGCCGAGCAGGTCTTGCAGAGTTTCCGAGAAGTCGCGGATGGCAAGGTATGTACTACTTATTTCCCATCGTGGCTCTTCTCCTAGTATTGTGCAGATGAGACTAATGATGCGCAGCCATACGTGACCGAAATTGATTTGCGACACTCCCTTATCCCCGACGAGGTCATCGATCACCTTGTACAGACAATGCCACCACACCAAGGCCCTGACTTGCAGGAGGATCGCGATCTCCCCAAATATGACTACATCAGCTTCATGGGCAAGATGATGGAGTACAATGAGACCCAATTGAACACACCTGCCAATGGTGAAAGCTAATGACTACTTGACCATTCTTCCATCATCCCCTCTTTTTCTTCTTTTATTGCATGATTGGCTGCATTGCACACCCGGTGTTCCTCTGTTTCGCTTTCCTTTTCCCATATCCATATCATCTGCCGGACATTGCTGTTAAAGGTTGCGATTGGTGTTATCTGGAGCACAAAAAAGAGGGTCCTCTTCAAGGTTCGTTTTCATTCCAGATATGTACGATTCTTTCTCTGTGTGGGTAGAAGTAGTGTTTCTCAAGAACGTGAATAGAATGTAATTGTTGCAATCCGTCCGGCACTTCAGGAAAGGTGGGAGATCACGTGCACGAACAGGGGGGGTGGGACAAACGTCCCGGCCTGGATCCAATCCCGGGCTGCAGCTTCCGCCGTCCCTTCGCCTTCCCAAGTTCTCTTATTCATCCTCCATTGACTTGAATCCTCAATCGTCCCCGCAGTGCAGGCGCTGTTATTCCCTGCATTTCATAAGTGTACCCTTCTATTCGCCTCTCGCAAAAGACCTTATCGTCTCCGACAGCTTTCAGAATGGATCGTAGTCTCGACGAGATCATCGCCGAGCGCCCTGTAAGTTCCCCGGAATCAACTTCACCACCATACGGACTCTGGCCTGGAGCACTGTCCACTTCATCTGGGACTCTGCTAACGGACTATTGCCCAATCTATAGCAAAAACAGCAACCTCAGGATCGTGGCCGTCGTCCTCCTCAAGGCCGTCCTTCCCAAGGCCGTCGCCGTGATGGCGTAAGAAAGGTATGACCGTGTTGCTTCATGGCTCTCCGGCCGACGCCTCGCAATCTGGACCCCTCCCTAACGACACGACTGAACAGGTCCTTCCTCCTTGTCTCCTTCCGAACTTAACTCGCGCATCATGATAAGCAATATCCGCTGGCCTCGTAGCACCGTCTCGCACAGACACACACGGCCATGCATCGCTGCAGAAAAACAAGATGATGGAGCTGTGTTTACACGAGTATATACTGTGACTTTCGAGCTGACCTTGTCTCTCTATTTCGACCACAACAGTCTTACAGAGAAGATCGCCCCGACTTGGATCTGTAACTGCACCCCTTCCCTTGGCTGCGACGGTCACCATCAACTCACCAGGGTAACTTGTTTGCTAACCTTTTGTCTTCACATTGGTAGCGATTGGGTTCATGACAAATACGAAGACGACAGAGATGGTGCGTTTTGACCTTCGAGTAGTCCTTAGCCCTCCTCCTCTTCCTCCTGCCACTATCTCAGCAATCAACACGACATGCTAGTGTCACATGGCCGAAAGCAATTCTTAACTCAAATCCTTCAGCCCGCCCGTCCCGTGCCTCTCGACGCCCGCGCGGTGACCGTTACTCTCCCGAGCACGAACAGTATGTTCCACATTATCATTATAGCAAGCACTCTGATTGACCTTTGACGATAGCGCGTCTACCGGAGCCAAGCTTCGTGTCGAGAATATCCACTACGATATCAACGAGACTGACCTGGAGGTAAGATGCCTTTGCAGACATTGTTTTGCCTTCGCCTGTGCATGTCTGATTCGAGCTCTTGTCTCTCCTCTAAAGGATCTTTTCACCCGCATCGGACCTATCAGCAATGTTTCCCTCGTCTACGACCGGGCCGGCCGCTCCGAGGGCGTTGCCTTTGTAACCTACAACCGTGTCAGCGACGCGCGCACAGCCATTAGCGAATTTGACGGTGCCAACGCTAAGGGTCAGCCCATCCGGTTGACACTCATTGGTAGTGGTGGCAGCAGCGGAAGACGAGACCGCAACCCTTTTGACAACGTAGAACGTCCCAAGGGTAGCCTGTTCGACCGTGTGGAGCGCCCCCGCGATCGTAACGCTCGCAGTCTGAGCCCTGGCAGCAGAAGCGGTAGCCCCGACGGCAACTCCCGGCGTCGTCGCGGTCGTCGTGGCGCCGGTGGTGGCGGTGGTGGTGGTTACCGCCGCAGCGACGTCACCAAGCCGCCTCCCGAGCACATCGACAGATACGTTCCTGGCCAAAGATCTCCCGCCCGCAGACCTGCCAATGGTGGCAGTGGTGGTGGTGGTAGACGTCAGCAGGGCGAGCGCGATACTCGCGGTGGGGAGGGCCGTCGCACGGTCAACGGTCGACCCCGCAAGACCCAGGAGGAACTTGACGCCGAGATGGACGACTACTGGGGTGGTTCGGCGAACGCCGGTGCTGGCGCGGCCGAGAACCAGACGGTTCCGGATGAGCCGCAGCAGATTGCTCCTGCGTCTGCGGCAGCAGCTGGAGACGATGACATTGACATGATCGAGTAAAGCGTCAACTTTTGGAAAACAAATTTGCGAGTTTACAGGGTGGGTTAGGTTGTGCAAGGGAAGGCGTTGAGTGATGATCCCGATGTTTTTGTGTAATTAAATTGAAAGAAAGGATCTTGGTGTTTTTTTTACCGGACACAATTCCAAGAAACCGAATTATCAACTAGAAAGATTGAAACCCTACTTACTACTCTATGATCCAGTTGACAAAGGGCTACTCTATCCAGAAGTAAATAGGTAGACCCATGTTATTTTCAGTGAGAGCCGTAACTAGGATATGATAGTTCTAGGCAAAACAAGACAAGTAATGGTATGTGGACAAACCCCCAAAACCCCCCCCCCCCCCCCCCACTTTCCAAAATAGCGAAGGCTTTCCTTCCTGCTGAAAGGTGTGCCGTGTGTCTCTTTGTGTATGTATAAGTGTGTGCGTGCGAGTGTTGTCTGTGAAGATAAGGCAATATCATATCTTCTTCTTCCCCATGTTGTCCAATCACTCATTGACCATGGTCGGGTATAGACGAGAGAGTTTTTGATCACGATGCTGCATGCTGCTGCTGCTGATGATGTTGATGATCATGTTACCAGCATCATGCCCCCTTGTCTGCTTGCTAGCATATCGACTTCCTTTTTCTCTTGTTCGGTTTGCTCAGAAAATCCACCGTCTAGGAAAAAGGCTAGGCTAGAAATCTAGAACGAGATACTACTAGACACTGCCAGGACTAGATTTATTGGTGGGGGGAGTGGGGTGAGGGGTCATCACCGCCAAAGACCGTAGGGTTCCCTGCATGCTTTCCAGAGTTTGATGGTTCCATCTTCGCTTCCGGTGCCGTAAAGCTTGCCGTCGGGCGAGAAGCTTACGGACCAGATGGGGCCGTGGTGGCCTTTTTGGACTTCTACATGGGATGTTAGGACCGTAATTTCTTTGTGGGGGGGATTGGATGGGTTTGAAGAGAAGAAGAGACAAGGGTGAAGGCGGGCAGGCACCTACCGAGTTCTTCCCCGGTGAGCAGGTCATATACCCGAGCCCAGGTATCATCGGCACTGCCGGTGACCAGACGACTGGTTTCGTTGTTGACCGCCGCGCTGGCGACCTCGTATCGGAAGTCCATCTTCTTGAGGAGGCGGCCGGGGTTGAGGCCGTCGAAGAGGTAGACGGACTTGCCGGCGGCGACGGTCAGGATGCCCGCGTCGTTGGGCCGCACGGCCAGGGTGTTGAGTTCGCAGCTGCCGATGGGCCCGTCGACGGTGTACTCGACCACCGGGTGGCGGGAGCGGAGGTCCCACCACCGAATCTTGCGGTCCTCCGCTGCCGTGGTGAGGATGTTGTAGTCTTGGTTCCAGACGATGGATTTGATGGTGCCACCGTGCACGCCGGGTCCGATCTCGTAGCTCGTCACGGTGGATGGTTGCGTGCCCTCGGCGGGGGTGGAGGCGCCCGTGGCGAGCGTAGGCGACGAGCTGTTACTGCCACCGTCGCTGCTGCTACTGCTGCGCGTGAGGTCGAAGATCCGCAGCTTCTTCTCGTAGCCGCCCGTGGCCAGGACGCGGGGCGAGGGCTGCATGGGGAATGCTACGGCTCGGCAAATGTGCGAGTGCTGGAGCGTGTGCAGGCACTCACCCGTGTGAGTATCCCATACTTTGCTGTGGGGTGAAGGTTAGTTCCAGAGCTGGCTGGCTTCGGACGATTGCGCGGGTTGAGAACCTACGCGGAAAAGTCGGCCGCAGCAGTTGCGGCGATGGTGGCGTCAGTGGAGAGACGTGCCTGCCAGACTGCACCTTTGTGACCCAGGAAGGTTCCAATCCTGGATTGGTGATCATTAGTCTGAGAGCCAAGGGCTTTGGTTCTAGATGTGGAAGTTGAACGAACCAGTCACCAGTAATACCATCGCGCAGCATAGGATTGTTATCTGTGCGGGTGAATTAGCGTGCCAACCTTCATGAGGGTCCGTGGCGGCTGCGCAGCGTCGCGTACCTTTGCATGCGGAGATGAGGTAGTACTGGTCATCCTCAACTGTGGAGGAGAAGTTGATGTGCGGCACAGGACGGGAATGTCCATGGCATGTCAATGGCACAACTTTGGGAATATCTATGAGATGTTAGTCATGAGCAAAGGTGCAAAGAGAGAGATGAAGACCTCGAGACTCACCAGCAGCCATTTTGAGCTTTTCTATCTGGAGATTCTTTATAACAAGATCTTTGGGTATTGATGTCGCGATCGGTTGCGGGCGGCCGTTAATGTCAAGCAATGGTTGTCTTCAACAGCAGATATACAAGCTGTTTGAACAGAGATACAATCGGAGAACCAAGATCACGGATTTAAGCAAAGGATGAGGGAGATGAGTAGATGTAGAAATACAAAAGGAAAATCGTCGATCTCGTCAAGTCATCAATTGGCCCAAATAGTGGGGGGTGGAGTGGGAAGCTCTAAGAATGGGTTGCAGGAAGTTGAGGGGGAAGAGGTCGAACTGTACAATCGCACACTGCAGGGCTGTACAGAGAAGGATTGAGGAAGATGATAAATGGCAACTCAGTTCTACAACACACAGTCGAGGGGAAATTTGAGCCCAGCAGGGGGGTCGGAAGAGAGGAAAGCGACGCAAATCAACGGGATGATGTGCTCTTTTTTTGATATTCGCAGATCGCCTTACAATTAATTCCCCTTCCATCCCCGAGCTAATCCTATTTGGGTTTAGATCGCCTACACGTGAGAGACTCTAATCTATGCATCTCAGCCACTGTAAGACTGTATAGTTACTCGACATATCGATGAGTATCTTGAATCCACATTTTGTCAGGTAGACTACATACATCCAATACAATTATTCTTATAAATATCATCAATCAAGAGGTGCTACTATGCCTATATTGTACAATGATATTGAGGTACTGTAACTCGTGTTAAGGACTTGCGTTACACCCAGCATACCAATTCTACTCAGTAACGTTATTCTTCCACCTTCAGACTCCTTCAGTGGTCAACCATTGAGGGAGTCTTATCAGTCTCTGGATATGTACAGCTTAAATCTTTCGTAGTTACCTATCTACCAATCCAACCATGACTCCTCCTATTTAGCTTATCAACCACTGCTCCGATTCTAGCAACTTCTTCCCGCCCAAACCGGCCAGCTGAGCCACCGCCCACGTGATGGCCCGCGGAGGTACCATGGCCTCCCTAAGCAACAGCTCCCAGGTACTGCCTACTGACTGTTACCTCCCAACCAGGAACCACCAGGGTGCTCTGGAGGTTGATCTTTGCACTCTTATCGTTGTCATCCTTCTCATTCAAACCACCTCCCTCAGTCCCTCCATCTCCCCCACCAAGCTCTTTCACTTCACTCCCCTTGTTAGACCATCAGTTCATGTATGCCTGAGTTCAAGATCTCCGCTTCCCTGGAGGGCCACGGCGATGATGTAAGAACGCCCCCCTCCCGGCTGTTGACGCTGACTTTGCCCACATCCACCCTGCCCCCCCATTTGGCAATTCCCGACAACTGATCATTTTATTTTTATTTCGCTGTATCATAGGTTCGCGCTGTGGCCTTTCCTCATCCGAATGCCATCTTCTCAGCATCTCGAGATGCAACAGTGCGACTATGGAGACTAGTGTCTACCCCGCCTCCGACGTATGACTACAACATCACTTCTCACGGGTCAGCCTTCATCAACGCCCTCGCATATTATTCCCCCACACCCGACTTTCCCGATGGCTTGGTCCTCTCTGGCGGACAAGATACAATCATCGAGGCGAGGCAACCCGGCAAAGCCGCTGATGACAATGCGGACGCCATGCTCCTAGGCCATGCACACAACGTGTGTGCGCTGGACGTCTCACACGAAGGCGGATGGATCGTAAGTGGAAGCTGGGACTCCACGGCCCGACTCTGGCGAGTAGGTAAATGGGACTGTGATCTTGTCTTGGACGGTCATCAGGGAAGCGTTTGGACGGTGCTTGCCTACGATAAAGACACAATCATCACCGGTAGGTGCCATGTTGTTCAACGATCGCATCATCTCAGTACTAACAAATCATTAGGCTGCGCGGATAAAATTATCCGTATTTTCAATACCTCTGGCAAACTTCTCAAAACTATCAAGGACTCTCAAGATGTCGTGCGAGCGCTGTGCAAGCTTCCTCCTTCTCACCCTTCCGGCGCGCACTTCGCTTCCGCAAGCAACGATGGGGTTATTCGACTTCACACCATACAAGGACAACTTGTCGGAGAGCTTCACGGTCACGAAAGTTTTATTTACTCGTTGGCTTCCTTGCCTTCTGGTGAGTTGGTCAGCTCTGGCGAAGACCGGACGGTCAGAGTGTGGAATGGCATGCAGTGCGTGCAAACGATAACACATCCCGCGATCTCGGTTTGGAGTGTTGCTGCTTGCCAGGAGACTGGGGATATTGTCACAGGTGCCAGTGATCGGGTCACTCGCGTCTTCACCAGAAGCGAGGATCGGATCGCAAGTGCTGAAGTACTTCAACAGTTCGAAAAGACGGTCAAGGAGTCCGCGATTCCGGAACAGCAAGTCGGCAAGATCAACAAGGAACAACTTCCCGGTCCTGAGTTTCTCAAACAGAAATCAGGCACTAAGGACGGTCAGGTACAGATGATTCGTGAGACTGATGGTAGCATTACTGCCCATACGTGGTCGATGGCATCGCGCGAATGGATTGCGGTAGGCACAGTGGTCGACTCCGCTGCCAGCAGCGGAAGGAAGATTGAGTACTTGGGTCAGGACTACGACTATGTCTTTGATGTCGACGTGGAGGACGGCAAGCCTCCTCTCAAACTACCATACAACGTCTCTCAAAACCCATATGAGGCCGCAACCAAGTTCATTCAAGACAACGAATTGTCTATGAACTACCTTGATCAAGTCGCACAGTTTATCGTTCAGAACAGCCAGGGTGCCAGCCTTGGCCAACCTAGCCAAGGCCCGACACCTGCTGGTGCCGACCCTTGGGGAACAGAAAGACGCTACCGTCCTGGAGACGGACAAGAATCGCAAGCTACCCAGCCTCCGCCGGCCCCGGAGCCCCGCCCCAAGGTCCTCCCTCAGAAGCAGTACCTGTCGATCAAGTCCGCCAACCTCAAGGTAATTGCTAAGAAGTTGCAAGAGCTGAACGAGCAACTTGTGTCATCTGGATCGAAAGAATTGTCATTAAGTCCATCCGAGCTCGAGACTGTGGTTTCTCTATGCACGCATCTAGAATCCTCGAGCTTGAATGAATCGCCCATCGCAGATACTGGTGTTGTCTTATTATATAAGGTCGCAACGCTGTGGCCTATTTCGAGCAGACTCCCCGGTTTGGATCTCCTCCGCTTACTCGCCGCCGCCACTCCTGCGGTCGCTAGTGCGGACTACGATGGGAAGGATCTTATCACAGGGCTACTTTCAAGTGGAATTTTCAACTCTCCATTGAACGTGAACAATGCAATGCTATCGGTCAGAATGCTGGCGAATCTGTTCGAAACGGAAGCTGGTCGCAACCTGGTCATAAGCCGATTCGATGACATTTTGCCTGCCATCAAGTCTGCTTTGTCCGCCAGCGGATCAACGCCCAATCGAAACCTTACAATCGCTGTTGCGACCCTCTACATCAATGTCGCCGTCTACTTGACCTCTGGAGGCAACGAAGCGGCTCCTGAGTCGTCGGAGAAGGGATTGGTGCTTCTTGCGGAGCTTACGCAGATGCTTCAGGGCGAGAAGGACTCCGAGGCAGTCTACCGTAGCCTTGTCGCATTAGGAACACTGGTCAAGGCACTGGGGGAGGAGGTCAAGGCCGCGGCAAAGGAGGTATACGATGTGGAAGCCCTTCTCAACACCATCTCGAGCTCTGGACTTGGGAAGGAGCCGAGAACCAAGGGCATCATTGGTGAGATCAAGGAGTCGCTTTCGTAGGGCGAGCACTTAACTGAAGAGTATCTCTCTGAGTTGATAGAGAGTTCTTGATATTCTATATTCATAGGGATTATACATATTGGTTAACGATAGCGATGCACACCTGCATGAAATTAACTATTGACTAAGTAACCGTCAAGTCCATTCACTAGGGAGGGTTACATAAGGTCCGACTGTCCATCCTATGGAATATGAATAGCACTTTCAACCCGCTTGTGGATTCATTTCCATCCCACGACCCTTAAATCCAGGGCACACACCCTCCCTTGTACTATACTATACAACTTACCCCCCCCTCTGTCTCATCGATACTCAAAACACAATCCCCCTCCTCAATCTACAACCTCCCCTCCGCATCCACCCCAACCTCCAACACCTGATCCACCTCCTGATAATCTGGCACATCCAACCCATACTTCTCCGCAATCCCCCGCGTCAGAAACCTCCCGCCCACAAAATGCCTCCCGCGGTAGAACTTCACGCACGGCTTCGGCGCCGTCAGACTGATCAACGCCTCCGGCATGAACTTCGCCCCCGGTCCGTCCCGCGGCGGTCCGCTCTCGATGTCCCACGAGCTGGGCGCGTCCACGCTCAGCACCGGGATCGTCGCCGCTTCCATCTGGCTGATGATTTCCGGGAACGGGTCGCGCAGCGGCCCCCCGAAGCTGAATCCGAAGATCGCGTCCACCAGCAGGTGCGAGGTTTTGATGGCTTCCGGCAGGTCGTGCGTGTCGTTCAGGATCGGGATGGAGAGGTTGCGGAGTTGGGTTTTGAGGCGCTTGTGAAGGGTTAACTTTGGGTTGGGTTGGTTTGGGTTTGAGGGTGAGGGGTAGGGGATTGGGGATGAGGTTGGAGTTTGAATTTGAATTACCTGGTAGAGCTCGTTTTTCCCTTCCTTGGGGTAGTAGATTGTTGGGTTGTAGCCGAAGTGCGCGAGGTGGCGCGCGGCTACGAGGCCGTCGCCGCCTGGTTTGGGTGAGGTGGTTAGGTCCGTGATGGTGTTGTAATGGGACTGGGTCATTGGGGGATAAGATGGGGATGGGGATGGGCTATGGCGGTGGCGTTGAAGGTGACGGTGGTAGGTGGTAGGTGGTAGGGATCGAGTGCTAACCATTATTCCCGGGACCGCAAATGACGAGAATGTTCTTTCCTGCGCTCGGGGGATGGATGCGGTATACTGTTTTTATCTCTGGCGTTAGGAATGGATTGTTGCTGAATGGTGGGCTGGCTGGTATCGGCGCGCACCTGCTTGAGAGACTGATAACCCCGCAAGCTCCATGAGTTGATCTAGAGAGAACCCGCCGGTCTCCATGAGATCCTTGTCCAGAGAGGCGGCATCTTTGGAGGAGAGAGCCTATTCGCAATCAACACGATGTTAATGACCCGAGCTCCCTCTTGGGGATGTAGGTTGCAAAGCTCATGAGCCGACTGACCTTCAATGACATTTTGGCTGATGTACTAAATTTCCGGAAGGAGGCCGCGAGAGGAGGTTTCCGCCTTAGGATGGAGGAGAGGAGCATACAAGCGTGTCAATTTTAAGCTAGTGAGTACAGCGTTGCACAGTTTCTCAGTGAGGCTATTTGAATTGGATTAGGAAAGATTTAATTGTAAAAGCTACTCAAGCTACAGCACCATGATTGCTAGATAAGTGTTCGCATCGATTGCATTGCATCATTGTTATCGACGTTCCCCACCGTCCGGCGCTAGTCCGACTCGGGCGTTCAATCCGGACAAACTGATCCTCCGGACAGGCTGGAAACTGCCGCGGAGTCGGAGATCGAGGGTCTACTCCAGCTCGTTGTTCAGTTGAGATCTCCCTTTGCGCTGGCTCGGTGACTTCTCAATCTCTTCCAATTGAACCCGAACTCCTTCAAGATGGTCGTCCGTATTCGTCTGTCCCGCTTCGGGAACAAGCACCAGCCCTTTTACAACATCGTGGTTGCGCAAGCTCGGTAGGTGAATTTTTTCTAGGTCTCTTTTGAAGCGCATGTGCTGTGCTGCTACCGAGGCGTCTTGAAATTTGCCCCAGCAGCAGTCTATCGACGAACTTGAATCATTGCGCTAACATCAATTGTTCGCTCAGTTCGGCCCGCGACTCCAAGCCCCTAGAGGTCATTGGTACTTTCAACCCCGTCCCTCAACGTCCCACCGGGCTCTCCGACGAGGAAGCCCGCGCCGCGAGAGCATACAAGGATATCTCGCTCGACCGATCTCGGGCCAAGTACTGGTTGGGTGTTGGCGCACAGCCCAGTGACGGTGTTTGGAGGTTACTGCACTTGGTATGTCCATTTTCCGGGGAAGGCTTTTCTCGCCGCAGGACGGACAGCCACGATAAGGAAAACCACCTTTTTACTGACTTCGAATGTGCTCCCAGGCCGGTCTCATTGAAGCGAAGAAGGTTCCCAGCAACTAAACCCAACGAGCGCGTCTACATCGTTCCTTGATACATCTGTTGTACATTTAGCACGAGACATGAGGCACTGGAGCTCTGGGCCAGTAAGCCGGTCGAACAGGGCCCGTGACTCGTGAGAAGAAAGGGAAGAGAATCCGAGGGGAAGGGCAAGTTTGGAGGGGGAAAGACATCCCTGGATGTTCCGCCTCCTGGCATTACTTATTGGCGTTTATTGAGAGAGTGATATACATTTGGAAACACTTCTGGGATTATGTACATTATGTGCGCTGATTATGTGACTGCGTCTCGCATTGTGATTACTAGCAATTAGCATCGGTTTTGTGATGGGGTTATGTTCTCATTTTTCTGTCCACTGAATCCTGTATGCATGTGTTGGGCATGACTCTTGGGGTGGGTGCATGTTCAAAGAGTCTAGAACTGGAGTGAGGCAGTTAGTACTTCCTTACTTTGATGCAGGCTTCACTGCTGGAGTATGTAGTCTGTCACGGGGGTACTTTTTCTTTTTCTTTTTTTTTTCTGAACAAGCCGTTCAGAGGGAGTCATAATAGCGAAAGTAGGACCCAAGTAGTACTTTTTGGTTGCGGTCCTTGCATTTGAGGTCTGGCAGGTGACCAGGCAGGGAATGACCGCCCACCACAGACACCACCTGCCCTTGGATTAGCACTGTCATGATGCTAGCTTCCCATCGGTGACCATAAACTATAAGGTTCCCAACGACAGGTTATATCAACATGTCAGCGCGTCTCCGGCATGATTCAACAAATACCTCATAAACGGCTGCAACCCATGTATCGGCTTCACAAGTGCCATCCGGTGGTGACTCCGAATTACCTAACATGCATATAGGCATCAACGGCCAGGCAGAAACCACTACGGCGACCAGTTACCAAGGCCGACCCAGTGCCTGATTCTTGGTGTAAACAAGAAGCTCGGACATGGGACTCCTCAGCTTTCACCATGGGCAGGGGTTGACCCTGCCCTGTCTTGACTGCCGCCCAATTTGTAGCAGATCTACTTTCTGCGGACATTTAACTCCAGTCTGTCGTCCAGTGCTTTGATGCCGGGCTTTTTCTCCCCCTCCCCCTCCTCTTCCACCCTCTCTTCTACTTGTTGCTTATTGTTACAATTGCCGCGCATCGAAATCAGACCTGGGCCAATCTAATTCAGGGGACAGGCGCCGCATCAGCCAGTCCGGAGGCCCATCTGTCTGACGGGCCGTGGTGATTGGCTTTCCTGCGGAATTCCAGGCAGGAAGATCAACATCAGAGTTTGAGCATTCCCATTGATCCATGGCAAGCCACACACATATCCAGGGCCTGCTTCCCTTCACCAGATAGGGTGGTGGCCACACGCCTATCTCCTCTCTTCCACCCACCACTGTACAGTTCTGAACTGTACTGTACTTCCCATGCCCGCGCAGGTTGGAACTAGTCCGCCAGACTTTAACTTGTCGCCTCATCGGACTATATCGTGGTTGGTTTGTCGGAGAAAGTAGCGGCCTCAGAAAGGGTCCAGGAAGGTCATCCTGCCCCGGCTTTAGGTATCTACTGTACATGTCGGCATGTGGGTTGTTCCTCTACAACAAGGTGTATTGGGGGGGCTTATCGTGTCGTCGGAAGAGACGCTGTGCAGGATATGGTGGCGGGTTCTAGACAGAGAGAGGGAGAGTGGGTGGGGGGGGGGGGAGCAAGAACTGCGCGACCCAGACCTGATCCCCTGATTCCGTCTTTTCCCTGGTCAATAACAACAACAAGCCTTCTTCTTCTTTCCTTCTTCTCCCTTCGCAATCACATGATAGGAATCTGGCCTCAAATTTGGCAGACTGCAGGCTACGATCACGGGCCCTGAGTCTTTCAATATGGTTGATTAATTCATTTTGAGATCTTCCCAGACTGGTTTTCGTCCGGTCGATGCATGCGTCTCGGGCCGAGTTTCTAGACCCCAAGAGATACAGGCCGTCGGTTTGGGTCAGTCTACGGTCTTGTCCAGATCACATAGTTAGGGATTGTCCCATTTGGTGCTTACTATGCGAAGACCACCGCCAGAGCTTTGCATGTTGATCTCTCCTTTCCGTTTTCCTTCTTCACAATGGAGACGCCGAAATGCGCTCGTGGAGCCGCACAGCAAGAGGCTCCTGGTCGCCGGGAACCACGGGTTTCATCCATGGGCAGGCTTTCTGTCGTACAGTGAGACTTGCTCGTGATCAGATGAGAAGAGAAGATTAGGGTTCTTCTCTGACATGGTTGAGATACTTGTTTTGGCTTTAGCGCATGAGAAAGCATTCGTCATATACGGAGTACGAACTGCAGTTGCGCCCGCCGTTGAGTAATTACTATGTAGTAGTTAGAGGAGGGAACAGGGGTAGCAGAAGAGAGCAGAAGGTACTAAAGAATTAGTTCCTGGGTAGTTTGGTTGATTGTTGGTTAGTGCTTCAAGCAGGCAGCCGGCATCTAGAAAGAGTTGCTTGCGTGCTAGACTCACTACTAAGGTTAACTAGCCTCGGAGCGTGTTGAGTGTTGGTGGGATTTTAATCTTGTCACCAACTGTCGAGTCATGCCGCCACGGATAACGCGGGGTTCATTCCAGGTTCCGAGCGTTTGTTTCGCAGGGTGTGTCGGGGAGCCAGGACCCAGATCGACCATCTGTTCAATTGATTTTGATTTTTGATTTTTATTGTTCTCTTCGCGTCTCCCCCCTTATCGCGCGAGACCATCCCATCCGGGCCAGACTTGGACAACAAAACAACTGGAGTTGGCTGAATTGGTGAATGACGAGGATAGTAATTTCGATATTGCGATAAGTGCTAATCAACTAACTAATGCATAAATTGTTAGCTGCTGAATCAGCCACGTCCCGCTGGCCTCGGCACACGCACTTTCCTCCACGTTCGCATCCGTCGTGGCGGTTGTTTGCGTAGAATTAAATGGAGCTGCAATCGGCATCTCCTTGCTTGCATATTTCGCTCTCCGATGGCAGGCGACTCGCACGCAGTCAGTCGGCTGTTGCAGCAAGCAGCCGCTCCGGAGATTCAGAGAGGCTAGAGAGACAGAGGCAGTGATTGATTCATGGTCGTGTTGATTAATCTAGTACTCCGTACTCCGTACTATCATCATCATCATGTGCCATCACTATCTCTAGAGTACAGTACGTACAGTACTCGTAGTCAACTTGACGACACCACACTTCCCCGGGGAGATCGGGAATCACTGGGCAATGGATTTTAGTCCCTGGTCTTTAATATCAAGTCGCGTGTTGTGTTCATCTCGAACTGCCGGGTCGCGCTCGAGCTTCTGGCACGCTCGTTGGACAGTGGATAACTAACTACCTTACTGTAACTACTAGTAAACCACCTTAATAGTGCATGATAATAATTTACCTACTCCGTACTTTCCGTACCAAAGTCCCTCACTGAACGGACTGGGTGAGTGAGTGAACAGTCGTCCTCGAGCCAGAGTCCAAGGGACTTCCGATTGTCCATCATTTGCAAACTCCTGGAACGGAAGCAGACTGGATCCGTGGAAGAAGACGAGAACGAACACTCACTCTCTAGAACTAATCCACCATCGATCGGTATTCTCCCCTCCCTCCCTCCCTCCCTCCCTCCCTACCTCTGGTCTGTCTCTCTGTCTCTCTCTCTCTCTCTCTTTTCGACTACCACCAACACTTCGACTTCCCCCTAAAATCTCAAGGACCGTTCCGGGCTCGATTCATCCATTCATTATTGGCATATTGCTCTCTTGTCTGGGACGGACAGACGGACGAACTGCCACTCCCTCTCTTTTTTTCGCTTTTCTCTTTTACAGTCATTGTTCAGTGACTCTCTACTTACCTAACTATCCTTTCTTCCTTCCTTCCTTCCTTCATCTCTCTCTCTCTCCCACCCCAGTCCGTTCAGCCAGTCATCATCATCACTACTATCATTCTCCTTTAAACATCATCATCGCCGCCGTCATTCCAGGTTCACCACCTCCACCATAGCAAGCCTTCTTCGCCTCCAGTTTCTACTTGATATTCGATTTCTTGAGCATAATATGTTTGCAAGTCATTACATGTTTACTCACAACATCCTTTGATCGCTGTTGAGGATCCATTTGGCTACTTCATACTTCTTTACTTTGCGACTTACTACTTAGATATTACTACTGCTACTTAACTAGGCACTTCCCCCCCTCTCCCCTTCACTCCAGCCTGCTTTCTTTCTCTTCCTCCCTC